TTGAAAGTAAATAACCTAAAATCAAAATTAGTTTCCTAATTTACGTTTAAAGGTAATTTGAGAAATTATTTCATAATGTGGGCCTCTTAAAATTCTTCAACTTAATTTATTTGGACGAGTCCAAATTAATTAATTAGGCCAAAATAGTTTTAGGTTAATAAGTTTAATTAAAAGCCCGAAAGATATTTTGATGAGAGGATAAACATGAACTTTATTGGATAAGGATGAATGTTTTAAAGATAAAGATCAAAAGCCCACATATAAAATAATTCCTAATCGTTTGAGGATTAGGAAGAAACAACTTAAAGTTCTTTAAGCACTCATTGTCGCCCCTCCTTGTCCTTAGAGGACAAGGAAGCCTTTCCCCTATATATATGTGAGAGGTTTGACAAATACAAGAATTTTAAGAGAGAGAAAATTTGACACAAAGAAAAAAAAGAGGGCACATGACATCAAGTCAAAAGAAAAGGAAAATAGTTTCTCCTAAAAATCCCTTACACATGCCAACTCCTCTCTCTTTCGGGTTGTCATAAAATTACTCTAATTAGATTTCTATAGGAAACACTAAACAAGTTAGAAAAGGTGGAGCTAGCACTCTACTAATTTTGAGTGCTTCTTTTGTGGGTGTTTAGACTGCGTGGATTATCGATAGAGGTCGAACACTTGGATGACTCTTTTCCGTAAACATTTAAATTTACATTACAAGAGGTAATTCTTATTCAAAGCTTTAATGCATGAATATATAGTTAGTTGATTCAATGACATGATCTTGGGCCCTTTAGATGGAGAAAATTGTTTTGTTTTATTCTGTACCTTTATAGGATGTATGGTCCTTCATATATAACCTCGGTTATAAGTAAAATAAAAATCTAATGACTATTTAGATTACCACTATAGACTAGTTTAAACTAAACCACCTTACTTGTTTGACTCGCTATAATGTACACACATTTGGGGCTTAAGATAAACATGAAATGGGTTATATATAAGTTAGTTATGGTCCTCAATACATAAAAACATAATAAGCATAGCTAGATAATTTGTACTTCCTAATATCATGAATAGAGTATAATGTGTAAATATCCTATTCGGGAGCTCAAGACATTGTGAAGGGGCAAGAGAAAGGGAAAGAAGTTGAGTATTTTTCTTATAGGTGAGTGAAACCTAGTTCCATGTTATACGAATATGTTCTATGCTTAACTTGAATTGTTAAATCTTAAATGAAGCTTGATTGTGTTTGTGAATTGAAATGTTCTATCGATACTTACTAGTGTAATTCGCTATATTGAACTTGAACTACTACAAAATATTTGAGAGTTATGAAATGTGATTTTATAAGAGAGTAAGCATAGAGTGTGAATTAACATAGAGTGTGAATTACATTCATATGGTTACTAAGAGGGTAATATCACCAACATGATTCAACTATTCACAAGAAAAAAGAAATATAAATATAGAAAATGCTAGCCAGCTATACAAAGATTTTTAAAGAGTAAACCTTTGTGGTCAATAAATAGTAGACCACTTGTGATCAATACAAAGACATAAGTACTCGAGGTGATGTTTGACATGTCTAGCCATAACTAATAAAATGAGTCTTGCATGTGTATAGTTTATATATGCATACATATTTAACTATCGTTTGATATGCTTTTAAGAATGGAAATGATTATTAATTTTTTGTGAAATTTTTGCTATATTTGAACTTGGTAATTCCGTAATGGTTTCATCACCGAGTAGCGACTCACCAAAAAAACATATGTTTTGTTTTCCGATAACTAGAAGTTAGAAATTTTGATCTAGTTTTGAAAACTTGTACATAGCATGATGAGTCAAAGCTCAAAAAGCCATAACCACACTCTCTCTTTCTCTCTTCACCACTTACATATAGAGTTAGAAGAAGAGTTTATATATATGTTTGTGTGTGTGTGTGTGTGTGTGTGTGTGTGTGTGAGTGAGAGAGAGAGAGAGAGAGAGAGAGAGAGAGATAAATACTAATACATATAAATGATATCATTAAATGTTTCAAGTAGTAGCATTGTAAAAAATGGATATTGACTATACGCGAATAGATTTATGAGTGCTATGCTCATGCTATATGATAGTAGTAATAGATCTCACACCTATTAGCATGATGATGCCAAAACAAGTACTTAGGTGATTAATGTTAGAAAACATATCACTGGACTTGATTCACCATGAGAACCCATTTGGCTTAATCTATGAGAATCGCATACGAGATGGGTACAACTAGTCTTTAGACTTGAAGTTATCACGGTTATCTTATTAAAGGATTTATGTACTTTGACACTCGTTTCGATGGACTCAATAAAGGGTTGTACGTGGGTGATTTGTTGGGTGCACTAGGAATCTAATGGAGGTAGGTAGATGACTAAGATAGGACATATCATTCCTTGTATGCTAAAATAGTTATCATATTACACTTCGATTAATGTTTGCTCAAAAAATCTATAGCCATAATAGGAGTACACAAATAGAGCATAATTGGTTTACTCTAAAAGCTAAGATATTTGAGAATCGAAAAAAACTTATGTGAGTTAAAGCTTGAAAAACCGTAACCACACTCTCTCTTTCTCTCTTCACCACTTGTATATAGAGTTAGAAGAAGAGTTTATATGTGTGTGTGTGTGTGTGTGTATGTATACGGTCTTCATACAAGCACTCTTGTGCTTGGTAGGTATATTCGAGAGTAGATGCGCTATATATGAAATAATTCATGCTTAAATAACATGTCTTGTATTCGTTGTTATAAAATACATGGTTAGTTTTATTACGGATAAAAATGAATTATAGAGTTCAACTAACGAGTTAACTACAAATTCAACTTAATGTAATCTAAGATCACTAGACACTGCAATAGAGTTAGAACTCGCTTTTGTCTAATCTCCTTGCTATATATATTATTCTTGAACATAATAAAATATTATTGAACTTTAACACACTTAATCTCTATATGGTATCGAGCCTTTACTCGCTTAAAAGCCTCTCAAATGACTCCATGGCTTCCTCGATCACCGAAAATCAAGTTTTTTCCTTCAATGTGCCCACCCATCCGCCCACCAAACTCACTAAATCCAATTTCTTTGTACGACGCACTCAGCCTAAACTCGCACTTATTGGTTACAATCTCTTCAACCATATTGACGGCTCACCATCCGCAACTAAAGAAACTACGGACCCCAAAGACACATCCAAAACAATTATCAATCCCATATACCTTGCTTGGTATCGACAGGATCAATTGATATTAAATGCCATACTTGGAAGCTCGCATCACTAAAATTCAATCCCATATCTTCACAGCTTCATCCTCACACGAAGCATGGTCTAAACTCTCTATCATGTTTGTAAATAAATCTCACTCTCGCATTATGTTTCTAAAAGAAAAACTTTATGACAACCCTCGTTGCACTCGAACTATAGTTGAGTATCTACAAGAAATCCGATCCACTCGTAAATGCCCTTATCATTGATGAGTGTTTCGTTGTTGAAGAAGATCTCATCATGCATGTTCTAAAAGGTGTAGATGAAGAATTCTCTCACATTACTCGTAGCTTGTTTATGTGAGAGATACACGAATCTCTTTTGATGAACTATTTGACAAATTAAAGGAGAGTGAAAGGAGACTCTAGCAAGCACTCCAACCTTAGTCCAAATCTCAATCTTGCCACGACTCATTACACATCACGCTAATCCCCACCTAATGGGGCTTGGAACACCGGATCCAACACTAGTTCCTCGGGGCCAGCATGGCACGCCGGGACCCGCAACGCACGTCAAAGTGCCTCACATCCCACATGGCAACGGACTCGATCACCAATCTCACGGGCTCCAACCAAGATAACTCACTTCGTAACTTCGTGAAATTCTAGGCCACATGACCACCGATCGCCATAAACTAGTAAAATTCCTAAAAACAAATAATATCTCCCTTGGTTTCAATCTTTAAACAAGTCGTTACACTACCTACGACCAATGTGGTCTTTATCGGTTCCACTACCACTCAACCTTGGTTACTTGACTCCGAAGCATCATACCATGTCACCGGCAGTGTGCATATTCTATCCTCCTACTCGGACTATGGTGGCCCTAATTAGATCGGCATTGGTGATGGTACAAGTTTAAAAATCTCCTCTATAGGCACCACCACCCTTAAGCACAAAAATCACTCTTTCCTGCTAGACAATATCTTACATGCTCATTCGATTAAAACAAATCTAATCTTTGTCTCTTAGTTTTGCAAAACCAACCATGTCTCACTTGAATTTTTTCCTTGTTTTTATCTTGTGAAGGATTTATGCACGAGGGCGCCTTTACTTTGCGAGGAGAAAAATAATGATGTTTACTATCTCCTACCATCGGTCGGTCCACAAATACATCACACCACTACCACTTCGCTAGCTACATGGCATCAACGCCTCGGTCATCCTATAGTGAAAATTCTTCGCTCCGCCCTTAGAGCTAAAACAATAAACATAGGTCTTTCATCATCAACCAAATTTCATTATACTTTATGTTCCTTAAACAAAAGTCATCGTCTTCCTTTTTCAAAAATTCTTTGCATAGCTCTTAACCCCTTAAACTCGGTTTACTCGACGTCCGGGGACCAACCGAATTATCAATTGATGGGTATAAATTTTATCTCATTTTTGTTGATCATTACGGTAAATACATATGGTTTTACCCTATGAACAAAAAATCTTATGTCTCCGTCATCTTTCCACAATTCAAAAAACTAGTTGAAAACTTCCTTAAAAAACCTTTAATCACCATAGACACGGACAATGGAGGTTAGTACTTAGCCCTTAAATCTATTCTCACTCGCTCACGGCATCTCCCACTTTAAAACACCCCCTATACCCCTTGGCACATCCGAAAGACAACACCGATATATTATTGAGACAGGAATCACTCGCTTTATAATGCCTCCCTACCTATATCCTATTGGTTATTTGCATTTCAAACGTATATCTACCTAATCAATCGGCTTCCAACTCCAATCCTTCACCACAAATCCCCATATCGACTCTTATTCCATTGTATAACAAATTACACTCGTCTAAAAAATTTTGGATGCCTATGTTATCCTTGGCTCCGTCCGTACACAACCTCCAAACTCCATCCCAAGTCATTAGTGTGTATATTTCTAGACTATTCCACAAGTCGATCCGCTTACATCTGCTATAAACCAAGTGAAAAAAATTATATATATCGCGCCATGTCTAATTTGCAAAATAAATTTTTCCACGAGCAAGGAAATAGTCCACATCATTTTTTCTTCTTGTAAGGAAACAACACCTCCAATGAGTCCACCACATTAAGTATCCCTTCCTAATTTTTTTTATCCATGTGTAACTCATCAATCCGACCCTCTATAGGCCTACATCGGCACACAATGGCCTCTTCCACATTCCCTTCCACTTATCCTATCTCGCTCACTTCAATTGAGAGGCTAGAGCCCAAGAACCAGCCCAACCCATCCCCACCGCCCAAAACCTATCGGACCCGACCCATGATTCCCACTCTCAAATAACTCCAGCCCTCCCACTTACAAACTCAAACATGTTGGGCTCTCTTTTAACCCAAGCCCTTTTAAACCCAAACATACCAATTCTCTCCAAATCATACCCGACCACAACATATCCACCTCTCTCCCTCAATCGTCTCACTTCCCTATCTCCAACCACTTCCATTGGTTCCATCTCGCCCGTCAACAAGCTCCGTTTCACAACCTCTAGACACTTCAGCCCCACCAACCGTCGACTCGGATCTCTCAACATCAAAAAACCTAACCCCAAATACTTTAATCCTCATTTCATTAATCATACAACCACACACCCCATACCCCTTCTTCTTAAACCCAAAAACCACTCCATTGCCATGGTTGATATCAAATGGTGTGCAGCCATATCCGAAGAGTTCAATACGTTAATGAGGAATGGGATATGGGATCTAATCCCTCTAAGCAACCGGAACCTTGTGGGTTACAAATGGGTCTTTTGGATCAAAAGAAACCCGGATGGAACCATAGCCAAATATAAAGCTAGACTCATAGCGAAGGGCTACCACCAATGCCCAAGACTTGACTTTTCAAAAACTTTCAGCCCAAGTATCAAAACCCATAACCATTTAGCTTCTCTTTAGTTTAGCACTTAGACATAGGTGGAAACTAAGGCAACTAGACATCAATAACACATTTCTCCAAGGAACGCTCTCTAATGATGTATACATGCTTCAACCTCCCGGCTTTGTTCATCCATCCTTTCCCCATCACATTTGCAAACTCAAGAAGGCTATTTATGGGTTGAAACAAGTATCTCGGGCTCGGTATGAAGAACTAAAATCGTTTTTAGTGAACTTCGAATACAAGATCTCTATAGCAAATGCCTCACTCTTTATATACAATAATGCTCGGTATTTGTGCATACTTCTTAGTCTATGTGGATGACATTGTATTAACGGAAAATAATGACGGATACTTGGAGTCTTTTGTCAAATGCCTAGCAACAAGGTTCTCTTTAAAAGATTTTAGCACACTGCATCAATTCTTATGTAATAACCCCATCCCAAAAACATACATTGTTCATACATATACGCACACTTATGACTTACATGCATATAATTATACTTGTATATGACATGTTAGTGGGGTATTAGATAATAAGTATTTTGAATATAGGAAAAAATAGGGACTCAATCGAAGTAATATAAGTTGGAGAACTAAGATAAAAACAAGCCACACCTTAAGGGACCAAAACAAACTTTGCCAAGATATATATATATATATATATATATCTCAAGTCATCTTTTCATCTTTATTTTGCAATCCCTAGCTGGGAAAACAAGAGTGAACCAGAGAGAGAGAGAAAAAAGAAAAAAGAGAGAAAAGAAAAGGAAAAAATAAGGGAAAAACCATAGTTTTTCCAAGGCAAGTCGAAAGCTAGGTACCTCCTGTAACAATAGTTTTATATTGCTTAATTGGAGATTTTAGAGTCAGATGTTTAAGAAGGTTAAAACATGAAAGTTGTAGATAATACCTTGAAATAGTACCTTGTTAAATTTAAGCTTAAGATAACTAGTATATCCTCTATTTTATCCCTTGCACGTAAGCTGTTCGGATTTTCGGTGAATCCTGCAAGCAAGTCTGATTTTTAGAAAATCACCATGAGTTGTGTATTTCGTACATAGACTTGGTTGTTGGATATGTTAGAGCCCTATGAGTATAGTTTCATATGAAACTGGAATTGCATCATTTGAATCTGTATTTTTGGACTTATGATAGGAAGAGTGTGAAGGGGTCAAGTACCCATAAAGAAATAAGTTAACCCTAAAGTCATATTTTGCACCTCGAGCATATTTAAAAGTTTGATCATGATAAAATGACTTATAAAATTATATGTGTATGTGTTTATGGATGCCGAGGAGCGTGAGGTGCAAGATGCAATGCATTGATAAACGACGAAGATGTCATTTTTGTGAGTGGATATAATTGATTGATACTATGTGTTTGTGTTGCCATGTGATATTATTGACTTTTCCGAATGATATAGTAAACCAATGTTTGTGTATGAATTATGTTTTGATGCTATGAAAGTGCTATGTGCAAGCATATGTTGATGATTCATGCTATGAGCCATGAATGTTATTATGTATAAGTACAAGTTATATGGGGCATTCATGACGTATGAAAGATAAAAGGGTAAGGTTATGATCGCCATGTCCAAGTAATCATAAATACAAGTTACAAGAACCCAATGGGTTAAATACAAGTATACAAGCTGGCCAACCATACAAGTTTACAAGTTATAAGCTTATAAGTTTACAAGTTACATGTTACAAGTTTCCGGGGCGATACTTGATGTGTTTTGGTCATAAGCGATAAGAAAAGAATACATACAAGCATTTTGATATATGAACATGAATGAATTATATAAATGCTTATGTTTGTGTCATGAATGTGCTTTTGGTTAATGATGTGAAAATATATATGTGTGTGTTAGAGCATCAAGATTATATCCCTCATTGAGTAGCGTCTCATTAAAAATACAATTATCTTTTTAGGTGCTAAGAAGCAAGAAGTGGAAGTTAAAGTCATCTTTTATTGTTCAATTCACGTCATGGGAAAGAACCTCTCCTCTCTCTCATTATGCCGAGCATATGCATCATAGGAGATTTTTGAATTGTATATGTAAATGTGTAAATATGAACTCCTGGATGTGTTTTATGACGTGTTTATGAACAAAGAAAAAGTGGTTTTGATTGACTATCCAAGGGTTGTAAGTGGAAAGAATGGTTTTTATTAGGTTTTGAAGTGTTATGATCGAAAAACCCTTGTTTTTTGGCGTAAACGTACACGGAAAGGTACACGGCCGTGTGAGAGATCGTGTAACCTTCGTTTACGGGAAGGCACAACGAGCGTGTGAGAGGCCGTGTAACCTTATGTTTTCAAGGGAAAATGGGATTTTAAATTACACGAGCAAGTACACGACCGTGTGGGAGGCCGTGTAACTCGTCGTTCGTAAAAAAAGAATTCATAATCTTTCTAATATGAGGTTTTAACATTCTTAAGTGAGATTTTATGATTAATTGAGTTTTCTATAGCTAAAATGGCTAAGTTATACGAAGTTTTTGTAAGAAATTAGGTTAAGGTCGCTACAATTTGTGGTATCGGAGCGGGGATAAGATTCATATGGGCATGTATGAGTGCATACTATTGCATAAATCCATATGACATGATATAGTTTCATATATATAGTATGGAAGAAGTAGGTGATCATGGTTCTAACCATGATGCACCGAGAGAGAGGGAGCGACCGATCAACATGCCGTAAAGCTTCATATACCTCTCGGGTACATATAGAACCACTCGCGACCCAAGTTGGATTACGGATACCTCATACATATGCATTGCACCAACATGGTCTTGAAAATAAACCGAGAGAAAGAAGATATGATAAACTACGTAAATATGGAGCGAGTTGATTTTATGGGGTCTACGGATCCAGATCGAAGCCGAGAACTGGTTAAAAAAATAGAGAGGATTTTAAATATGATGCAATGAACTCTAAATGAAAGATTTGATTATGTTGTGTCTCTTCTCTAAGGAAATGCTTATGATCGGTGGGAGACAATCCAAAATGCTACGGTGTAGCCTCTCGTCCTTCAATTGGTAGATTTTCTCCAAGAATTTAGAGATAATTAATTGCCGGAGATTTATCAAGATGAGAAAAGAAAAGAATTTCTATATTTGAAGCAAAATAATATGTCCGTGGTGGATTATGAGGTGTAGTTTAACTAACTCGTCTTGGTATGCATCGTTCATGATTTTTATTAAACGAGACAAATACCGAAAGTTTGAAGAAGGGTTATTATATGCAATCGAAGCAAGATCTCATCCGAAGATTTAGATAGCTATGCTCGGTTAAGAGTCGTAGCTATTCGAGCTGAAAGGCTGAAAAAGAAGCGACGTACGAAAGTGCAAGGTTTTTGGGTAAGAGAAAAGAACCAAGTCTCCCTCCTCCATCAAAATTCACTCCGGGAAATTTCAAGGATGGCTATTCGGGAAGTAAGCAAACCCGGAGTGGTACCCGGACTACCGGAGGTCGAGGTCGAAGACGCGACTCGTGGATCCGAGACTCGTATGTGCGCATTGCAATAGACGACATGAGGGGGAATGTCAAAGATTGACTAGTGGATGTTTCCACTATGGGTCTCTAGATCACACTCGCTTTGAGATTGCCCGAATAGAAGTGGAGTGAGTGGTACCGTATCCGAGTCCACTTTTTAGGGGCCAAGGTTGAGTAATGTGAATGTCCGGTATGGAAGAGGTAGAGGTCAAGGTAGAACCGGAAATGTCACTATGACACAAGGTGGAACTAGAGCCGAGGCTCAAAGTAGCCGATCTCAAGCTCAAGCACGAGTTTATACAATTCCTCGACAAGAAGCGAGTGGTTGCATCGGAAGTGGTGATAGGTAAATTACTTGTCTCTAATATTGAAGCTTATGTTTTAATTGATCCCGGAGCCACACATTCATTCATGACACCTACATTTGCATCCCGAATCCATAAATATGTTGAACCCCTTGAATATGATCTCGCATGTTAGTACTCCCTTAGGAGAATTACTTGAGGTTAATAGGGTATGTCGGGATTGTGTGGTATGAAATGAGATACTGAATTAGGTGTCGATTTATTACTCATGTTCTTTCATGATTTTGATGTCATTTTGGGGATGGCTTGGTTGACAAAGCATCATGCTATAATGTACTATTTTACTAAAGAAGTTAAATTTGATTTGCCAAATCAAGCAAGACTAATTTTCGAGGAGAATGAAAAATTTTACCTACTTGTTTAATATCCGTAATTAAAGTATGTAAGATGATTCGAAAGGGGTGCAAAGCATATTTAGCTCATGTGATTGATACTAAACGGACGGGGGTTAAGTTAGAAGACATACCTATTGTGAATGAATTTTCGGATGTGTTTCCGACGGAATTACCGGGATAGCCACTAGATAGAGATCCGGAGTTTACCATTGAGTTATTACCCGGCATGAATCTTATCTCTATGACGCCGTACAAGATGGCTCCTATTGAGTTAAAAGAGTTAAAGACTCGGTTGCAAAAATTACTGGATAAAGGGTATATCCGATCTAGTACATCATTATGGAGAGATCCAATGTTGTTTGTGAAAAAGAAAGACGGCACACCGAGATTGTGTATTGATTATCGGTAGTTGAATCGAGTGACCATCAAGAACAAATATCCTCTCCCGAGAGTC